TTAATGAAGAGAATTGATTAAGTCTGCACTGGGAGAGAAGTTAGCACAGGCGGTTGGGGAGATATAGAAGGAAACAATGAACGGATGCCAGAAACAGATTTCATAGTTTGGAGAAAGTACTCCCATTTAAGCAGTATACATCTACAAAATGCTCTGTGAGGATCTAAGGTCCTTTGATATCCTTGAAGCAACTCGAGTGAAAAGGACTGAACTCTGGATCTTTTATGTGTGTTTTATTGTATCTATGGAAAAAAACAGAGAGAGAGCAACAGTAGAACGATGCCTTAGTGTGTGTCAGTGCTGAAAGTGATGGGTGGTGTGTTTTATGAGTAAATTGAAGGGTCTCTTAAAAGGAGAGAGATGAGCCCTTCTTACTGTGTGTAGATGTGTGTGTGCGTGTCTCTGTTTGCTCTCCCTCAGCATCAGTCTCTTCTGCTTGATTTCTGTGCTCTCCTCCCTGCCTCTCCTCTGCTCACTATGCCGTGAAATGGTTTTTCACTAGACCATTACCCCTACCAGGGCACGACTGTGCTGCCACAGGACTCTGTGAGTGAGAGGGAAAGTGTTAAGGTGAGTGTGTGTTTTCCTGGGGAGAGGGAATGATGTGCGCCTTCTGTAGCTGCACTTGAAACAGAAAGATTATAATTTTGTTTTGGGGACTTTTTTTTTTTTTCTTCAGTTTGTGCTGAAGATGAGTTGTGTAAATCTACCAGTAGGTACAGTAGGTGTGTGTATCTGGATGCATGGAAAGAAATATGTCTCTTTGCACAGTGCTTAAAAAAATATATTAATGCTTATACATTAATGTTTTAACATTTTATAGTCCAACTAAGAAAAGTTAAGAACTGAAGAGTTAAAGGACATAAAAATACATGGTCTTTTTTTCTTTTCTTTTTTTTTTTTGCCTATAAAAATCTTAAAAGTGCGGTACACATTTTTATTTAGCTCCTTTTACATAAGTCCTTTACTGTACATAAATCTTGTAATTAGAAAATAAGCGTAGATGTTCAGTTAGATTGTCATATTTCTAGAAAGCATTAATAAACAAGCAGCATCATGACGACTACACAACGCAGCTGAAAAACCAAGGTCAAACTGTTGAAACGTTCAAAGCATTTAGTTGATAGTCAACAGTCCCATCTACAGTTATTAAGATATCATATAGGAGATGCAGAGATCGTCAATTCCTCTGAGAGAATATGTTGCCAGGACAACTATTATTCATGCACTCTAAATAGTCTTATTCAACACTCATGAATAATTGAAAAAATTTAAAAGTCCTCCCTGAACACTAAAGGAAACATCTCTAAAAAGCAATGTGTTCAGTCCAACTTTTTGGCTTATAAACAACCCCAACAGTCAAACATGGTCGTGGCAACATAAGGCCTTTCTTTAGCAGGCAGGGAATTTAGTTCACCAACCAACATCTACGGGTCAGTTTTTTCCACTAATAAGTACTTAATAAATTAGCCTTTTACCAATGTTAATCACGTTTCTGTTTAAATATCTCCTTTATTTTCCTTTTTCTTCTGCTTTTGCTTCACCTCGTAATTTCTCACAGCCTCTACATGATGCAAGTCCTTCCTCCACACATCGTTCCCCATCTCAAGCTCCCCCTTTAACATCTTGTTTAAATTCTGCTGTTAATATCATTTCCACCTCCCCACTCTGCCGCCCTTGTCTTCACCTCATTCTCTCTTGTTTTATAAGTCACCTCTCATCTCCTTTTACTCCCTTTGCTCCTCCTGAGCAACTTCATAATTTCCCTCCTCCTCAGTAAGTCATTTACTCTGGTCTCATTCACTCCATCTCTCTTTCCTCTGTTCTTCTCCATTTAATGCCTTTTCATTTCTGAGCTCCATACCTCTGTTCGCTCTTAATATCCCGCAGTTTCTTTACCTGAGATATTGAAGCCATAAAGACAGGTGTTCAAAAGAAAGCAGGGCCAGCAAATCTGATTTATATGCCTCCCAGCATCATTCCCCTGAATACAGATAGACGAGGAAAGGCAAAGAGGGGGAGCAAATAGCTTTGCTCTTTGATATCGAAATCTCAGCATGTTGTGAAAGAAGAAGCACCAAGCTTTCTTAGAAACCTCCAACCTTTTGTCTCCATCACACCTCACCTCATATGGTGTACCCTTGAATATATTTCCCCCTGTTCTTCTTTCTTGTGCATTTTTTAAATTCCCAAACAAAAGTAGTTAATTAAGTTGCAACATCAAGCTTCACTTGATTGTAATTGGTCAATGCAAAGTATCTTACAATTATAAAGTGAAAGGAAAGTGGTGTGTTATTTTCACTAGTTTTTGTTTTAGAAGTTAAAATCTATAAAATGTGGTGTGTATGTTTACAGTCCCGCTTTATTCTAAAACCCCGAAACATTACCAAGTACAATCATTTGCTTTTTAAGGAATCTAGGTAGGTGTCTCTTCATCTCAGTATAAATCTAGCCGATCTGTGAAAGTCTCAGAGGTTGAATTAGACCTGCATCATGAAGAACAAGGAATACAGCCAACTGGTCAGGATCAAAGGTGTGTAAAAGTCTCAAGCAGAGTCAAGATATAACATAATATGCCAGGTCTTGAACATTAAAGCCTTGGCAAAGCTGCAAGGATTCCTGTTTGAGGCTTTTAAACAAAACACTACATTTTGGAATAAAAAACCTTACGTTCCCCTGAGCAAACTATCTTCATGGTGGTACATGGTGGTGGCAGCATTGAGGTTGGGTTGTGCTCGACCCATGTACAATCCGCACAGAAAATGAGCTTTCTGTCATGATGTCCACAACATTTATCTCGGAACGGGGAGAAGAATCTCTTTGGTTCTTCCCCCATCCTGGCTGGCTCCAGGGGGTTGTTTACAGGACAAACTGAAAGCTGCCAACTCCACACAAAAGGAAGTAGAAAACACAGCTGTTTACAACTTTTTCAAAGCTTCTTCATGCCATCCAAAAGCAACAGTCATTTCTTTGCAGGGGTTTTTCCACAATCTGTTGACAGTTCTGGTATTTATTTATGGACTGAATTATGGGATGTCCCTAGAGCCATTATCCCACTGAAAACCTAGGTTTTTCAAAACCGGGTTAACCCTAAAAAAATTGGCCCTTTTACTATTTGACCCAAAAGCCGAGTATGACCGCCTGCTGGCAGGCTGCATGGCCACCACTGCATGTCTGATGACAGCATCAAGCTGGGTGAGTGTTGATGATCTCGACAGTGTGACCGAAATCGGGGAGGTAAATAATGGAGATCAACATGGATAGGAGCCACAGCGTAGTCAGTATTGTTTATTATTTCCCTCTTATCTGTTCGAATCCATCACGCTACTCAAGTACTGCTCCATTTCTATCGAATGTAAAAAGAGTTGTTTTGGCCTGCTAGATCAGAAGAAACTGGCATGGTGTATTGACGACTGCATGTTGCGTTCAGTGATGTCACAAAATTTAGAGAGTCAACCCAGCTCTGGTGTTCCCACAGCATGCCGATCAGAGCCGAGGCAATTTTAATGCATTTTCGCTTGCTGAGTCATTTGGCCTGGGCAGAAAACATCAGGGAGCTGTTCCCACTGCTACTAAAACCCGATCATTCCCTGGTATAAACGGGTTTTCGTCCAGTGTTAAGGGGTATAGGTGTGTACATTTGCAAACCCTCGCCAGTAGCACCTGCTGCTTAATCACAATGTATTTCCACATGGATATGTCCGAGTACTTAAATTTTTTTTTAGGTGTGTGGGGTAGAAAATGTAACTGCATTAATGCAGAACGGAGAGGAGTGTGAGCCAAAATTAAAGTCTTTTGGCAACGCAGTTCTCGCAGACGTGTTTAGCATAAACATTCTAGAGTTGAAAGAACATGGGGCTGCATACAGGTCAAAACATTGCAACCTCTGGTGGTAAACATGTTACACTAAGGAAGCAATTTACTTGACAACAGGACAACAATCCAAAAAAACACAGCCAGTGGTTCAGTAGAACGATTCAAAGTCATGCACATTCGTCACTTAGAACAGAAGCATCATGAAAGCCCAGACCTGTTTCTAGATTAGCAAAACTTGCCCCAAATATTTGTAGCTGAAAACTGAGATGGCCCAACAAGGGGGTGTAAGGCATGTCATACACTTCTAACTTGTATAAGTGCAGTATTTGAAAAATCATATCTATTCTTTCACTTCACAGTAAAAAAAATTATAATTTCAGTTTCTGATAGAAGACATTAGTCAAAGATTTAATATTACAAAATGTCAGTGAAACCTTTCTTTAACAAAACATTAATAGACATTTTATTTAAAAACACAGTTTTACTTCCAGAAAACCAAAACTAAAATAAATTTAATGAACATCAAAGCTTTTGTCTATGTCTGTGTGAGTATATATCCATATAAAATATGTTGATGTTTGGGTTTTAGACAACTTCATTGGAAGCGCTGTGGCAGCTGAAACCTCCTTGGTGAATAGACCAGAATATACTCTGAGAGAAGGAATGTGTTTATATGAGAGGAATATGTGAAAAAGGAGAAAACAAGATGATGAGGGTTAAAGTGAGAACCAGTGAGAAGAGGAGCTGGGACAGATTGAACTGTCAGCAGTTTGGATTAATCTCCCTTTTTCTTTCAATATGAAGATGAGATGCAGTTTTCTTCGTGTGAAACTGAGGGTATGCCTTTGGGTGTGTGTGTGTGAGAGACAAAATATTTTGAAGTAACCTAACCTTGGATGGAGACCCTTTCTACCCCCCATCCTCTCTCAACCCAACAAACTTCAGAGAACCTAAATCCCTATGAACTGGTCTTTGTTGGTTCTAAATCAGCACAGTATTACAAACATGCCCAACACAGAGAGAAAGGGGATTAAGGGTTTTCCACCAGACATGCTTTAACTCCGTTTTAAAGTTCCTTTTTTTTCCCAAAAAAATGTAGGCTTTAATGTAAGATGCTGTTCTGGCAAGATGAAATAAATTTAGACTCTAACCACTGCCCCATACTGTTGTTATTTTGTCCTTAGATACCAGGAAGAGGGACAGATCCACGTCTGACACCAAGATATGAAGAGGTGGAACGTCAGTATGCATCCTTACCAAGGTACAACACCCTCTGTCTGCGTGAAGCTTTAGAAACCATCTCTGTTCTGTTTTCTTTTCTTCCTCTAATTAAATCCTCAGTTACTATGTTTTCCCCAAATGTCTCTGGAGGCCTTGTCTCGCATAGGAACTCACCTTACCTTTGCTCTGGGGAAAACCGTCTGGGACAAGGCCGAAAACTGATCCTCCTAAGTCTGCTCCCCCACAAGAGTTGTTTTCAAATCCCCTCCTAAATGCTGAAGGCTTTTTGAAAGGCTTTTCTTAGAAAGTAAATAAGCTTAACTGTAGTTTGCGTTTTGGTGTATTGTTGGAAAGAAATAGCTAAATTAGCTTTTAGTCATAAATGGTGTAAATGGGCAGCAGTAATTAGGGACACGTTGATGGTTTGCCCTAGCAGAGAGACTATCAGTCTGTCTATAAAGTTTATTCTGCTGCTTTATGCTTTTGTGCAGATAAATACGGTTTTTATTCCTCCCTCTTCTTAAACTTTACAAACTAGATATTATGTTTGTCTTTTAAATAATTTTTATTTCTTCATCTGTTTTTCTGTTAATGGAAAATTTAAGTTGTACGTTTGGCTAAAGACTTCCTTTTTAAAATCAAATTTCAATTTTGTAATTTTCAGTTTCCAGACAGGTGGAATTGATATTTTTCCGCTGTTAGAAGATTGCCACAGTTTTATGTTAGAGATTTGCTGTGTCAGAAAACCAGCATTCAGTCTCTGTTTAGTGTTTTTTTTTAGCCCAATTTGCTTTTCTTCTCTCTCTTGCAAAGTTATTCTTTGTGTTATCTTCCCTAATATTCTCACATTCTTGTTTTTTGGTCCTTTAACTCCTTGGTTCTCTAATATTTGCTCTCAACCTCTGTGATATCTTGCATTGTGACACGTATCCTATGTTTTTCCTGTTTTTGGGGGTTGCAATTTTTTGAAGCCGAATGTGGTTATGCTTTTAAACTATCTCTTAACACTCTCAAAACTTGCAAGCTTGCAAGCAAGGGACACAAGAGCTGTAACAGAAAGAAAGAAGTGTTTCTGTTCCTCTTTTCACTTTGTCGTTCTTGCTGCTAACCAACACCTCTGCAGACTAACAGATGTTGGCCGTTGTTTGTGTCTGTCAGTAAGAGTGAGTTGGCAGGTTGGGCTTGAGAACAGAACTCAAGAACATTAAAAGTTTTATTGCCAGGTTCCCAACCCTGTTAAAACAGTGTAGGATGGGTATTTCACACCTCTTTTTATCAGTGTTTGTGTCTGTGTATGTGTCTAAGATAAAACGGGAGGGTGCCTGTGCTTGGGTGATGGCTTCGGCAGATGGGGGTTAGAGCAGTGATGATAGTTTTGACGTCTGGCTTTGGTATCTGGAGAAATTGGACACATTTGCACTCACTGGCATACTTTACATCCTGCGTTTCTGTTTCCACTCAGGAGCTTGTGCTGGTATTTCTACATGCTCCACCAAACCCACATTTATGTTTCGTCACTTGGTTTATGATGCCGATCTGAAGAGAGAATTTTCCCATGAATGTATATAAAATAGTTCGTTTTAAAGAGAAAATCATGAAATTGATCTCACATCTAAAACAGAAAATAAGACAGCAGTTCACAGACTTAGTGTCTCTGCTGCCAAGTTTCAGATGCCAGATCATTTTTGCAAGCATTGCACTTCTGTTTATTTCTTCACACCCGCATGAAGGCAAGAGCGTTCACTAAATATTCAATTCAATCTGTGCATACAGACCCCAGTGAACAAAAAAAAAATCACGGAGATGAAGAAATGGACAAGACTGTAAGGACATAAAAAGGTTTTTAAATTATAAAACAATATTGCAAAATTTAAACATCACTCAGTGTCACATGTATAGTCATTTAGAGTAAACTGATTCTGCATTATAACAGCCAATAAAGACTCTCTACTTGACTGTCCTGAACTCCTTAGTTCATTTAATATTCCTTTTTAATTGGAAAATAATACATTTATAACATATGGATTTGGCCTTCCATTATACAGCCATCTCCTCAGTTTTTGCAATTCAGTTCATTTCCGTAGCGCCAATTTACAAAAGGCAATCTCAAGGCACTTTATAGAGACAATTCAACCAGATCATAGGGTGAGATTGGTGTAAAGTTTTCTAAGGAAAACCATCTGATTGCATCGACTTATTGACTTTGCCCTTAACTGACTGTTTATAGCTAAGGAGCATTGATCTAGAAGGATCTGCAGAGAACCGGATCTCAGGTAGGAGAATCAGTCAACTGGACATCCATCAGTTGGACCATCTATAAATCTACACTTCATGTAAGAGTAACAAAGAAAAACAGAAGCCAGCCAGAAGAAGTCAATAGACTGCATGTGGAGGAAAACTAATGTTGGTTATCAGCTTTAACCAGCAGCTTCATACTTAAGGGGAAGCTTTCTCTGAGCTGGGACAGATAGGCTAATCAGAGTGGACAGGTAGATAGATGCAGCCAAATTCATGGAAAACTTGGAATAAAACCTGTTAGAGGCTGCAAAGGATTTGAGAGCAAGATTGAGGCGCACCTCAGAGCAGAGCTAAACCTAAGAATTAAGAACAAAGCATATTATCGTCTTAGAATGGTGAGTATCGTATGTGACCAGACTAAAATTAATGTCAACAGATACTCTCTAGCTAAGCTAGTCCTTTTTCAAAGAACAGGCTTTTTTAAGGTCTCACATTTTCAGAGCTGGCATTACCACATCTAATAGGAACTGTATCTGTAATTGCAGTGAAGGGGAAAAGTAAACCCAAATATCAAGTTCCTTTTCTTGTCTTCTGTTAGTTGAAATATGAATTATTACAGTATCCAAATCAGGCACAGAAGTAAAAACATTTTTGTAACCACATCCAGGCTGCTGACGTTATGAACACATTATTTTTCCACCTGACTAAGGTAGAAATAGCCCAAAGGCCATGTGTATCTAGTGTCCACATGTATACCTGTGTATTTTATGAGTGCCTTTCAGGTCCATGTTTCATAGTTGCTGTATTAAGCGTTTCTATTATTTTTCCAAAGTAGTCCTCAAATAGCTTTTGGGCGAATAAATCAGATCCCGCACGTTTGACTGAACATTATTTAACTGGAATATTGAGTAGATTGAGTGAGTTACATGTGAATTGGTCTTTGCCTCTGAGTGTGTGTGTCTCTGGGAGACAAGGTTTTGATGGCTCTAAAATTAAAACATGACCCTGCAGTGGATGAGGTTTCCCTGCCTAAAGCACAAGTGCTTCGCCACATAAACTGTCAGCAAATGTCACTGCTTGAAATAGATAGGTCGTCTGTTTCAGGGTAAACTGAATATTTTGCTTCCCTATAAAACTCAACTCCCATTAAAAAAATAAAGCAGTCATTATAAAATGGGCGCACTGATATATCAAAAACGGTTGGAATAAAGCAACTGGAATGATAAACATTTGGAAGACGAATTCACAAAATGTTGTATTACTTTTATTTAAAGTAATACAACATTTACTTTAAAAAGTACATATTTTTAAAAAGTAATAAGAATGGCTCTATGTTTTTCAGGTAGTTTAGTTTATTTATATACATTCCTCTTCTTAAAGCACTTAACAACTGTTAGGGGACCATTTTTTATGTTATCGTTTCTTTTAAAGGGTAGCATAATAATCAATGAACTGAACAGAGCAGTGTTGAGCTTCAGCTGTGTCACCAGACAAGTCAATAAATATCCACCCTGGTTAGCAAGATTATCAGCCCACCTCTGCGTCAAATGCATTTGTGACACTCCCCCGATGCACGTCTGAGTTCAGTGTGCACAAGTGTCCAATTTGAGGCACAGGACTTCTTTTTGACACTCAAAACAAATAACTTTTCCCTAAAATTAGCGTACAACTTAAAAATAAAAGTGTGAACAAGTCTTTTTAGATTGTTGTTTGGATTCTGTAAGCGTCATTGCAAGTACTAGTGGGGTGATCCATGATAAGTGTGATGTTCTGACAATAAGACAGAATTTTATCTAGCGATAGGAATCGAAAACCGGTTCCTGTTCAGAACTGGTTCCGTGTGTTCCAGTCCCATGGCACCATTTGGCAGCTCGCTTAACGATTCTCTTAACGGTTCCAGGAACCACCAAAGCCTAGCGCTGTGCAGCACGACTTACGTCACGTTTTTTACGCTAGTTATGCACACAGCATTCAGTAAGCAAGTGTGACGTGACCAAGCGTAAGTCTAGAAAAGCAAGACAAAAAAAATGTGCGTCCCATCAGGTAAACCGCACACAACGTGGCATATATTTTAACGAATGCTGTGTTTTTGATGCCTTCCGACAGAAGCTAAAGCTACGACCAGCATGGAAGGCAACTCTGGTAGTAAGTAGCTAGTTTTATATCACTGGCTTTGCTTAATGTGGTTCCTAGTAAATCATATGCCATTTCTGGAAATAAACCAAATTCCCTCCTCTCTTTTGGGTTATTAAACATGCTACGAAGTTGCTCCACAGTTTAGGGAGCTAGAGAAAGGTGACGCTCGTTTATTTAAATCAGGGGGAGATGAGTTTATTTCCCAAAATTATACAGTAATGCTTTTTCGTTAAACAGATGCCTTCTCCATAAGATTTAGATGACTGTGACTAGACTGGTAGCCTGGCTGGCTCAGAGGCTGGCAGCTCCCGTTCACTGCCTTCTGTTTTCGCCAAGGCAGGCAGAAATAGAATGTCCCAGGCGAAGGTAGACAAATTACCAAGTTCATTGTTTCACAGAATCGATAAAATCGATGAGGAATTTATTTGTTTCACAGAATCGATGAGGGAATTGGAATCGTGAAAATCGTATCAATTCCCAACCCTAGTTGTATGGTATGACACAGCAATATTATCAATGGACATTATGACATTGGGTGTGAGTAGCCCACAACAGCCTTGCTGAGCTTTAGGTCTTTGGTCACTAAAGTCTTTAACAGGTGAGCCTATAAAGGATCAAATACTTTTAATATGTTTCTTTGAAATATGATACCCCACCAAGAATTGC